TATCAAGTTTAAAAATTTTCAGCTTCAGCTGAAAAGCTCCGCTCGTCATGTGTCACTGTTAACGAGATAACTGATCAAAAAAGAGAGTAAAACTGAGCTGTAGATTGAATACGGGTAACACAGCAGGATAGATTTATTCACATTTGTAATTAAAAACACTCCTCAGCTCCAAGACAATTATTTATTCACTGGTGTGTTTACAATCCTGGAGATGCTCATCACAGAGGTTTGCTTAAAAACCTTGGGAAAGAAGACTCCCCTCTGCTGTAGCTCAGTGATTACTTTACTGTAGTGTAGAAATACGATGCTGTGCATCTGAGCTGGTTATGGTGTTCAGGGCACTTGCTAATGTTGCTAATGTTTACATGGACTGAGTAGGAAAATCTAAACCCGGTGGACTTTTTCTCCTCCAAAATAAAGCACATGAGTGCAGATCTGTTTAGGGATGTGTGATGTGGTATTGAATATAATTTGCTTCGCTCCTTCTCCGCTTTGCAAAACCTGTCTCAAGCAAATTCCTCAAGGATAAGACGTGGGTTTTTGTGGAATACATTCTGCCGTCTAAATGCACCTGCTTTGACAGGAAGATATGCTTTCAGACGTGGGATGTATGGCTCCGTTGTTTGCCACAGCGTATTACGTTTTTATCGGACTGTAAAAACTGCTAAAATGCTGAAAACCGGCAACACTCCATTGTCGCTCTGTTAAATAGTGCAGGTGGATGTTCGATAACGCTACTATTTACAGCAGGATGTGACGACGCAGTGACTGAGAGAAAGGTCCATTGGAGATTGGAGTTTATGGTATCAAGATCAGCAGAGAAGACTATCGTATCTCTCTTTACGCAGATAATGTTCTTTTGTATATGTCCTACCCAGAAAATTCTGTCAGTATTATTCTTGATCTGATATCTGAATATAGCAGGGTGTCTGGTTACAATATTAACCTCAGCAAATCACTAGCCTTACCTCTGAATATTCCACAAGGTGTTGACATATCTCAGCTTTTTCCTTTTCAGGTAGCTGAGGCAGGGTTCAGTTATCTTGGTGTATTTATTACACCTAAACTGAACGATTATTTATCCTGTTATAACGCCTTAAATTTCTTTAAAAGCATAAATACCTGTATAGCTAGGTACATATGAAACAAGAAGAAACCCTGAATCAAGTTCTCAAAACTTACCAAACCCAAAATGCTTTGAGGAGCCTCCTTACCTAACTTTCAGCTTTATTATTGGTCAGCACAAATTAAATGGTGTTTAGACAGACATGATTCCAGATTGGTTGATAGTGAGTCCTCATTTTGTAAACCACTTTTGATAAAAAAAAAAAACCCTCCCATTTCTGAGCTCCATAGACAAAATTCATAATTTAAAGGTCAAATATGTTATATATAATACACTTGTGGTCTGGAAGGATGTCTGACAGTATCTAAAAATTCCATATTATATCTCATTCTCCAATTTTCCTTAACCTAGACTTTCCCCTTAAAATAAGGACCATAGGATTGTAATATTGGTTAGTATCTGGAATAACTGATTTGTCTTGTATACATATTCGATGTTTAATGACCTTTGAGTAGATTAAAACCCAGTTTAAGCTTACAAATTTAGATTTCTACAAATATCTGCAGTTATGTCATTTTGTAAATTCCTTATCCAAAGAGAGTAAAATTCGGTAGGAGTTGACAGAAATGGAGAGGTTTCTTGTTGGGCCAGATGGTCCAAAATTTCACACATATATTCTACCCTGTCTTGTTCCAGCAGGTTAAGCTATGATTCCCTGAGATGTGTATGGGAAAGATACCTTTCTCTTAGATTTGATGATGATGCATGGAATAATATCTATAAGAAAATATTCCCAAGATGTACTTCCATTAACATCCAGGAGCAGAATTTGAAGTTTTTTACAGAACGTATCTTACTCCTGTACGTCTTCACAAGATGCTTCCAAATGTATCCCCATTATGCCCTAAATGTAAAGCTGATAAAGGTACAGTTATGCATATTTTCTCTCAATGTACATAATTTCAGATGTTATGGAAAGATGTTCATCAAGTTGTTGAGAAAATATTAGATAAAAGCTTTAATATGTCACCAAGTTTTTATCTTTTGAACCACAGTCATAACATGGTATTGAGTGACAGTCAGGAATATCTTCTAGGAACCTTAACATATCTGGCAAAAAAAAAGCATTTTGTTGCTATGGATATCTCCAGATGTTCCATCTCTTAATATGTGGTTGATGCAGATCTCAAATCTTCTTCCATTGGAAAAATTTACTTTTGAAGTTTATCATAGATACCAAACATTTCACAAAATCATCGGTATGAGAAATATTGGATGGGACGTGAATGATATCTTTGAGACTTGCATGTTCTCTCCATGGTCTTTACATTTCTGATTTTGTGCTGTTTGTGTTTCATTGCTTCTCAGTTTTGTGGTTTCTGTAGTAAACATTGCCACATTCTAGTTATTTTTTATTTTTTTTATTTTTATTTTTTCCTTTTTTGTATTTATTATTAATTTGAAAAAAAAATCCATTTCAAATTGTAATCAGGAATTTTTTCTTCAGTTTTTCTTCAGGGTAATCTGTAATCTGTTATTAATGTTATTTCATTATTGTTTAGCCTCTTTCTGACAATGGTGCAGCAACTGACAATTTGTTATTGTAAGGATAAATCTTTGAAAATCAATAAACCTAGAATTAAAAAAGAAGCTCCTCGGGAACCGTGAACGCTAAACACTTGATGGCATTACATAGGAGCCAGATCAACACCAGAATGATCAGTGTATCTAAAAATGAGGACAGTCCATGTTAAACTGCAGCTAGAAGATAAAAAAGCTGCTTTGGTGAGTTTATTGGTGAGCTGCTAAATAATGTTAGCGTGTAAGAAAGAAGTGTGACTGAGTGGCTCGTGTAGACCCCGAGTTTTCTTGTAAATGTGTTTAATTACTGCAAAATCAGATTTTCCACAGTTACCGGGTTATTTTGTACATGTAAGCATTTTCACTGAGTGACATTAGTTTTTGAAGCTAATATTAAATCATATAAACAATCATTTTTTCACACTGCACAGACCTGTTGACTTATATCTCATAATCTACAATGAAATATACAGAATGTAAGAACAACAACGTTACTTTGACTGATTTGATGTGATTTGAGTAATTAAGCATGCATGTTTACTTGTTACAGTGAGATTCATTTTTGCAGCAAGTTCAGTGATTTCGTCCTTCCTGAAGAAGCACAGGTAAAGTCCCTGGTCTTCATGGCGGGTGTTCAGTGGCAGCGACACTCCATCTGTAAACTGAGGATTCACATACAGAGAACCCCGTACCCACTCTAGAACCGTCCAGCCCCTCTTCCACTGCACAAACTCAGCTTCTGAATCCATCCAGTCCACATGACCAAAACACGACAGAACCACCTCATCACCAGCTCTAACAAACACAGCACTGGGAGAGCGAGGAGCTAGAGAGAGAGAGAGAGAGAGAGAGAGAGAGAGAGAGAGACAGAGAGAGAGAGAGAGAGAGAGAGAGAGAGTCTATTTACAGTGCAGGTTGTCTTCAGACTGTACAGACACTCTGAGCTGCTGTGTGTTAAATATTCTCAGTGTGTGTTTATTCAGTACCTTCCACTGAGAGCTGAAGCTTCTCGAGTTTGAGCTCCTGCTCCTCTCTGAACATCACACATCGATACACTCCGCTGTCTCCGTGCTGTGTGTGTGATGGTCAGGGAGAAATCTCCACAGCCGCCGCCCCCTACTGGTAGTTCGGTCCTGTTCCTGTAGCTGATGCTGTAGTGATCTGGTCTCGGTTCAGTCTGATGACCAGATGGTCACCCAGCAGCCAACGCACGTCCAGCTGCTTCACAGGTGGGTCTTCAAAGAGTTTACAGGGGAGGGTGATGGAGCCCCCCAGATTAACTTCCTTAACCACGACTGCAGACAGCGCCCCTAGTGGCAGAGTGGAGGAACATATCAGTAGGAGAGTTATTGTGATGTACAACATCTTCTACTCACAGTGTATCCAACCAGATGGTCCACTTTTATCCAGCTCCACTGCACCTGTAGCAGGTGCTGAATGTTCTTAATGTCAGAAAGTAAAACTGCAGAGCTTCTAATTCACTAATCAGCTTAACATGGAAGTTGAACTATTAACTGGAGCACTGAGGCAGTGTCTGCTCTGACTGCAGGAGCTACAGTGTTCAGTAAACTAAATTAAACAGGTTCTCACCTGTAAGCTTAAGTAGTGTAACAGTTCAATAATTTATCTTTTACTAATAAGTCATCTAGTGTAGTAGTGACTGAGCTGTGTGTATGCGTTATTAAAAATAAGCCGGTGCTGTTCTCAGGCAGCTTTACAGATGATCTCACTTTTAACTCTGCCTTCACTCTAGTTATGTTGATGAGTGTTGTTTTACTTCCATGCATCTTAGTCATGTCAATCAATTAGGCATGAATATAAGCTTGCTTGGAACATGAATGTCGTAGCATTTTGACTTAATGACCTCATAATTCAGAAGATCCAAAGAAGTTCAGAGAAAAATACACATTTGCAACATTTGTGTTCACCACAGATAGAGGCAGTCTTCAAAAAGGCATTCTTTTTCTCCAAAGAGCTAAACAGCAGTATTACTGTTTATACTGTTATCATGATAAATTATGTCACAACACTGTATGTTTTTCTGAACATATTGTGTATATCATCAGTACTTGTAGAAACTGACCAAGTGCATGTTTCATTATAAAGAGAGAAAATTAATCTGTTTAAGTGGATTTAGTGCCAAATACTGAATAAAAATCACTGTGTTCACAGTTTTTGATAGTATTTTTTAAATGTAGCTCTACTGGCTCTTTTGTCTCTGTTCCGACTAACCAGATGATAAACATTGTGACATTGTGAATCATGAAAATTTCTTTAAGTACTGTGATATATTTTTGCCATCTCGTACAGCTCTAGTGACATCATATCTAAATAACACTAAATCACAGACTGAATACAGTCCATACTATTTTAATGCAGTTATTCTCACCTGAGAGAACATACAGAAATATGAAATGCTTTACTGTCAGTAAAAAATCATTTTAAAACTACATTTTAAAACTTTTTGATCAACATATACAAAAAACATCAAATATGACACATATAAAACATTAAATATAATTGTGACAAAGCTTGCATAACAAAAAATCTGAAGTAAATATATACATATCAAACACATTAATCATGTAAATCATGACTTTGATTTTGTGAAGAATAGTTTAAGAATTAAATTATATCTGTGTGAGTTTTCATGTACAGGATGTCCCTCTATATGGGGTAAAATATGAAAACGTCTCCTGGTATCTTCAAAGTCTTCTGCAGGGCTAAAGTGCAGTAGGATTGTTTATGAGGGTCAGTCCACAGTTCTGATTGAAAAGTCAGCAGGGAACCCATACAGTGTATCAAAAAACCTACATCACAGCCCTAAACCTAACTCAGAAACAGGAATATCTCACATTCAGCGGTGAAGTAGCTGCTGATCAAATCAACCACGACCCAGAACTATACAGAGTGTACAGAGGAAATGGAAATACCTGAAACAGTAAAATGTTTTTGGGAATTGTTATAATTAGGTGTTCTTTACTGATGAAACTTTTGGTAGTCAGAATGAAAGTATGTACTATGTGCTGCTGTCATCAAAGTAGATCATGAAGTCAAAATATGAACCATTTATAAAGAAATGATCATTTAATTTGTGCTGTCCATCCAAATGACTGAGAGTCATTTTGACTCATGATGAACTGCTGTTGTTTGTATGATGCTGCTGGTGATATCAGTGTGGTTCAGGTGATGAGTTTATAGCTGCACTTCATTATTGATGGAAGATCTGCTGCTGGTGATATCTGTGTGGTTCAGGTGATGAGTTTGAAGCTGCACATCATTACTGATGGAAGATCTGCTGCTGGTGATATCAGCATGGTTTTGGTGATGAGTTTGAAGGTGCACATCATTATTGATGGAAGATCTGCTGCTGGTGATATCAGTGTGTTTCAGGTGATGAGTTTGAAGGTGCACATCATTATTGATGGAAGATCTGCTGCTGGTGATATCAGTGTGGTTCAGGTGATGTGTTTCTAGCTGCACTTCATTATTGATGGAAGATCTGCTGCTGGTGATATCAGTGTGGTTCAGGTGATGAGTTTGAATCTGCACATCATTACTGATGGAAGATCTACTGCTGGTGATATCAGTGTGTTTCAGGTCATGAGTTTGAAGCTGTATATCATTACTGATGAGCAATTTACAGCTGGTGATATCAGTGTGGTTCCGGTGAGTTTCACTTTCCTGTGTCCTGTATCTCTGTATCCAATGCTTCATCATGAACACAGCAATGGACACAGCCACCAGCAGAATCAGTATTATGGGTGCCATTATTATCAGCACCATTATTGAGTCAGCATGTACCACAGTTTTACCTGGAGATGAGAGGAATCAGAGAGTTAGAAGTGCTGAAAAAAAGATGCTTTGCTGGGTGTGTAAAAAGCTACAGGTGGACTGATGTACCTGTAGATGGAGGGAACACCTGTACGAAGGAAACACTGACAGTGCGCTGTGTTTCTCTCTCCATCACTGAGAACGTTCCAGAATCCTCCATAGAGAGCTTCCTCAACTCCAGGGAGTGCTGCTGTAGATCTGTACGGTGTGAATAAGCTGCTCCACACTCCATCTGCTCTTTCTCCACCTCACACACTCGTACAGAACCGTTCCCTTCATCAGGCAGGAAGCTCACAATCACTGGAGATACAGTGTTGAGGGGGAGGAGCACCAAGGCACCAAACCATGCCTCCAACCGGGTCACATGATCTGACAGACAAACAGAAATCAACTCTGACTCTCAACTCCACTTGAAAGACAGATAAAACCATACATAAAATGATACAGAGAAAATAATCCACTCATCTTAATCATTTTTTACTTTTTTAGTTCTGGCTAAAGATTATAACACCACGACCCAGAAGGATAAGCGGTTTAGATGATGTGTGTGTGTGTGTGTGTGTGTGTGTGTGTGTGTGTAAAGATTATAACGATATTATGATACAAATTCATATATTACCAAATTGAGAAGAGAGATGACTGTTATTTACTAAAGCATATACTCTTCCTTTAGAAACAGCTTGGCCATCACAAGCTGGTGAAGCTGCTAGACCAATTGAAGAGTTAGATGGGTTAGCTCGTCTACAAGCTTGACCAAGCTAAACTACCGGCATGACCAGCTTGACCAGTGGGTCTATCAGCCTAGTCCAGCTGGTTAACTGAACTATGCTGGCTTCTTAGTAATGCTTCAATGTTTTGTCTGTAATCAGATGAGCATGTTTACCTGTAACAGTGAGATTAATCTGTGCAGCAAGTTTGATGACTTTGTCCTTCCTGAAGAAACACAGGTAAAGTCCCTGGTCTTCATGTTGAGTGTTCCTCAGCACAAGAGAGACGTTATCTTTCACAATTCTCTCTTTGGTCAGCGACACTCTGCCTGCAAACTGAGGATCCACATACAGAGAACCTTTTTCCCACTCTAGAACCTTCCAGCCCCTCTTCCACTGAACAAATTCAGCTTCTGAATCCAGCCAGTCCACACGACCAAAACACGGCAGAACCACCGCATCACCAGCTCTAACAAACACAGCACTGGGAGAGCGAGGAGCTATACACAGAGAGAGAGAGAGAGAGAGAGTAAAATATAATGTAAATATATGTTTGGGACAGTATAAACTGTGTTCAGGACAGTGCAAACTGTGTTCAAGAAAGTATGAATTGTGTTTGGCACAGTATAAACTGTTCGGGACCGTGTAAACTGTGTTTGGGATAGTGTAAACTGTGTTTGGGATAGTGTAAACTCAGAAGCCTCAACAACTAAATATAATATCCAAACAACATGAATAATTTGTACGTAATGTCTGTTTTGACTGGTTTGAAATAAATATATACATAGGTTGTTCCTCTACAGACTGTACAGACACTCTGAGCTGCTGTGTGTTAAATATTCTCAGTGTGTGTTTATTCAGTACCTTCCACTGAGAGCTGTATCTCTGTGAGTGTGAGCTCCTGCTCCTCTCTGAACATCACACATCGATACACTCCGCTGTCTCCATGCTGTGTGTGTGTGATGGTCAGGGAGAAATCTCCATGGCCTGCGCCCCCTGCTGGTAGTTCGGTCCTGTTCCTGTAGCTGATGCTGTAGATGATCTGGTCTCGGTTCAGTCTGGTGACCAGATGTTCACCCAGCAGCCAGCGCATATCCAGCTGCTCCACAGGTGGGTCTTCAAGGAGTTTACAGGGGAGGGTGATGGAGCTCCCCAGCTTAACATCAGGTAAAGTAACCACAGCTACAGACAGCACCCCTAGTGGCAGAGTAGAGGAACACATCAAACAGTAGTAAGCATTAAACCTGGTCTCTAATAGCACTCTAAGCCCCGAAGTCCTACTTAACATCCACACTGATGACGTCAACAACATGCAGTCCCTGAACTAAAGACAAGGCTGGATTGGTCTAAACAAGCCAGGTGTGAAAGCATCAACTTCTAGCACACACAGCGGTTCGTGCTGCGATTATGAACTTAGTGACATACTGAAATTTAATACAAACACAAAATAAACATATCTGACTCTCACCTGAGACAAACAGTACGCTGAGTAGTGCAGCCATCATGATGAACAGTGTACCTTTACAAAGAAGACATATTTATAGTTAAATATATGAATTAGCAGAAGGCAAACGTGGCAGGAAACAGTTTAACTCGTGTCCAAACCTCTTACAGCATGGCCATGCCTCACAAGTGTCAAGAGGCAGCCAGTCAGTAGCGGGTAGTTACAATAATAATAATATTCATTCACTTTTTGTGAGATATATGGCTGTATAAGGCTCAGACATGGGAAATCTAGTTCAATAATTAGCCAAACACCAATACCCCCCCATTATACTATATTATGCAGAGGCACACGCCCTCTTGAAAAGGGACTTACTGTTGTTGTTAAGGTCGTTGTTCATTATTTTAAGGTACGTGTGTGTGTTTATTGCTTTGTGTTGAGGGATGTGGGTTGTTAGTCGGTTTGTTAGTGTATTGTGTTGGGGTTGGTCTACCATCAGGGTGAAGCCTGTGGTTAGTAGTGACCTCCCTCATGGGTTCAGTGCCATCTGTGTGCTTTTTCTGCCCTGGAGTTTTAAATAAAGTTAGCTTCTTGTGATGGAATCATGGCTTCCTCTGTTTCTTACTTTATGCCAAAACAACAGTTATCCTTATTTTCTATAGGCGAACTGTATAGATTTATCACCAGTGGGGTAGCCTGGCATGGGCCTTCTGGCACTACATCACCCATCCACAAAACCATTCCAACACAACTATAGATAAAGTTAGAGAGACAAAGAAAGAAAATAAATGCATGAGTGTGTGAAATCTCTGTACTGAACAAATCTGCTAAATAAAAGATGAACCTGATATTTTGTTGGGCTCCAGTCACGTACATCTGAAAGGTGTTCATCAAACATTAAAACAATGTTTCTAATTTGCTTTTAATAAAAGTTTTAATAAATGACTATTCAGCTTGTGAAAATATAAATACTACAGATAATTTTTGTGTCATTTGAGTGGAGATGTGGTGGATGTGCAGAGGACTGAAACAGCATTTATCTCTATTTTTAAAACTTTTTAAAATTTTGTGATACAGTGTTTTAACTCTTCGCTTATTTAGTTAGTTTATGATTTTGTTTACATGCTGATGATCACTGCTGGTGTTTTGTTTAGATCCTCACATTACGTAAAAAAATAGGTTCATACTGTTTAAAACAGGTTAATTTAAAATAATCTTGGTGAGGAGACCCCAAAACAGTCCTGCAGTGAAGCGGGCTGAGCTCTGGATCAGTGCAGGCCCAGCCAGCGGCACTGACTGACCAATGTGAAACACTGAACCTCCACAAACAGCACAAGCAGATCATCAGGTTCTGACCGCACCACCGTGCAGGGTTTGGTGGGTGGGCCCACCTCCAGAGCCGTGGGCAGCCAAAGAGTTTATATTTCCAGAGTAGAAGGATCTTAAGATATGGCTGAATCTGAAGGTTAGAACTGTAAATAATTTAGATGTGTAGATACGTAGTAAAGAACCGAAAGAACTGAAAGTGAAAGTGTGGAGAGTCAGCTGAGCGGCTATTTAACAACAACAATAACAACGCCAAAATCAATATATACAACTGATCTGTTTTAACTACAGCGCTGGATGTTGGAGTACAAAGTAAAACAACAGTGTTATTTTATCAATACAGTCCGAGTAGAACACATTATAACAAATTAGCTCTATATAACATCCGTAACATCTGTGTGTCGACCAAGAAAACATCATTTACATTTACAGAGAATCACAACTGTAAACCAATCATCTGCTTTAAATGGTCATTTCTGTAACTGAACAGCACAGACAGACAGACAAACAAAGCAGACAAAGCGCTATGGCTGTGAAGTTCCCCAACAGAAAAGCAGAAAAAGATCAAACTAGCGAGTTAGACATAAAAATATCTGCACTGTTAGGAACAGAATGGTCTTACATTTCTCCTGAAAATGCGGGTGGTTTCTGTTCTTTCACTCTGAGAGCAGAATGTGGAGTTTTGTCGATCTAAAAAACTTCGTGAAAGTCAGATCTCGACAATGTCTTCTCTCCACTTCTTAAGAAAGCACAGTATCTCCTCAGACCACGTTTGTTAGCCAATCAAAATAAAGTAAATATTGTATTTCCGCACAGAAACTACTAAAGGCAGCCAATAGAAAAAGCTAAGGTCACGAGTGTCAGGCTGAGAACAGGGGGAAGTAACGTCAGGAGATGAACCTGAATGAACCTGTGGCGCAGTTACTGAACTCAGCCAACAGAAAATGATAAGTCACCTGAACGAGGCTGAAAACATTTTAACCCTCTATTGCACGATGGTGCCTCTGGGCAACAAACTCATTTCCTCACTTTACAATAACATTATGCATATTTAAAGCCAATGATATGGTTAACAATAAAGGGAAGAGTTTAAGTAAGTCAATAAAAAGCATGTACTTGGTCATACTATCTCCTAGTGGGCACACTGAAACCTCTTTTTTAACATTCAGTATCATTTTTTATGAGAATTTGCAGAAATACGTTTGTTGCCTAGAAGCAACTTTATGCAACAGTGGAATGGATTTAGCCAGTCACAAGCCAGATCTCACCACTTCAGGGAATATGGCTCTGTATCATTTCTTCCCATTGTCGCACAATGTTGCCTCAAGGTAACATACTCCAAAAGTCCCCTGCACACATTATTTCTTTTAAATATTTTTGCATTTAATAATAGGGTCTGAAAAAATAAATCAAGGACAATTTTATGCAAGGAACGTGAATTGACTTTTTTTTTAATTGGTCTTGTTTTTAATTGCTCAGTGCTTCTCAGAAAAGACAGAAACACTCCGTGCAATAATTCAGGAGATGAACACCTTTACAAAGGAATTTTCTTTTGATATCCCTATTTAATGACTGAACATTCATTACCATTAAACTCTTTCAATATAATTTCATTTTTTTAATGTTTTAAATATAATTTAATTATATATGTGACCTATGTGATCTATGTAAAATGTTGTATGATTACTGAGATCAGAATCGATGTTGTACTTTGTCAGTTGTCAGTAAGTCAGTGTATTAAGTATAAATGTGATCAGATCTTTACAGCCGCTCTGGGAAGAACAATGAAGAGAGAAATTCAAACAGCATTTAAACACGTTTATTAGTTTAAAGAAACACCATCGTCTGAACAGCAGGACAGTGATGTCGTCACCTTTATTTCTGTAGCACATGGAAAAGACAACAAGTGTCGAGGAAAGTGCTGCACAGTAATATCAATTAAAATGATCTCTACTGATCAAAACTACACGATACGTTCAACAAGGGAAAAAATACATTCGGATTACTTTCTTCAATAGCTTCCGAACGGTGCGTGCAAGATGGTTGAAACTTGCAAATTATCGTTGTTGACATCCAAGACAAGCAACTACAACTTCGCTTAGGTCGGAAAGGTGTGCCTTTTAAAAAAACACAGAACACGTGGATTTCTATGGGCTGCCGCAACCTCCGCTAGAGCTAAGGGACCGTCTACAAATAGCATTACACAATAAAAACACAAGTGAAGACCGGCGGGCAAAAAGCACTTCACACTTTATGGTATGATAATTCAGCCTTATGAGTCGCAGTCCTCTTTTTAGAAGATAACAAATTATGAAAAGTCAGAGGTTTTAGAAAAGAGTTGTATTCGTATTTATGCCTCTGTTAACAACAACAACAAAAACATATATTTCAGCTGTAATTACAGTAGTTGGACTCAACTGACTGAATTATTTGAAAGTTGGTAGGTTTCTCCATATTACACACAAAAAAGAATTCTGAATAAATTCTATGCAGTTAAGTAGGGCAACCCACATGACATACTACACCTCTTGTATAGGTAACTTTTACCTCTTCTGGCCTGTGGTGGTAGTTTTTTATGAAATAATTTCAACAGCTTTTGGCTGTTTGAAAATATCACCCCAAAACAAGTTGGATTTAATCACGTGCAACCCACAAGGCATACTACACCTCTCATATTGATAACATTAACCTCTGCTGGCCTGTGGTGATAGGTTTTCATGAATTCATTTCAATAACTTTTGAACGTTTGGCTGTATCACTCCAAAAGTTTCATGCAATCAAGTGCAAGCTACTTAAAATACTACACCTCATATATATATATATATATATATATATATATATATATATATATAGATAGATAGATAGATAGACAGATAGATAGATAGATAGATAGATAGATAGATATAGATAGATAGATAGATAACAGCAACTGAACTGTGATGATAGGTTTTTGTGAATTAATTTTAATAGCTCAATGAACAGTTCATGATATCACTCAAAAACAAGTTGTATGTAATCAAGTGTAACCCACATGTCATACTACACCTCTTTTATAGGTAACTTTAACCTCTGCTGGCCTGTGGTGGTAGTTTTTTTTATAAAATAATTTCAATAACTTTTGAACGTTTGGTAATATCACTCCAAAACAAGTTGTGTGTAATCAAGTGCACATGACATACTACACCTCTTATATAGGTACCTTTAACCTCTGCTGGCCTGTGGTGGTAGTTTTTGGTTTCATTTGGAGTGCCTCAGTATCGCCATTGCACCAAAGGTTGTCCAGTGGTTTTGTATGCTCTGTCATAAAGACAACTGAAAAAGGGACTAAGTAATTACACATTTACACATCTGTAAATACTCATGCTAAAAAATGGCTAATTTTTACTTTAAATTTCAAGTCAGCCATATTACAAGTACATTGAACACTGAATATCAAATGAACAGAAAGTAAGCATACAGCAGGTGTGTCTAATCTTATCTGCAAAGGGCTCATGTGGATCCAGGTTTTTGTCCCAAACAAGCAAGAGCACACCTGATCACATAATTCTCCTGCTTTGTTGGAATGAAAACCTGCAAACACACTAGTCCTTTGCAAACCAGTTTGTACAACCCTGGCATAGATTATTTTTCTCTTAAATAAACTCAGCCAAATTACATAATTTATAAGTTGATACTTTTTTTTTTAGATTGTAACGTTATTGCTGTTGTTATGTATACAATTACTACAATAATCAGCCAAATATTGAGTGCTGACAGTTGGTTAATAAATTTATTTAAATAAACTCTACTGAAGCAACAGACATTACTCCCCCCTCACCTGGCCCTGAGTAATTATTTCACGAAAAACTTTTACTACAGGCTAGCATAAGTTACGGTAACCTATGTAAGAGGTGTAGTATGTCATGTGGGTTGCACGTGATTACATACAACTTGTTTTGGAGTGATATCATAACCATTCACAAGCTATTGAAATTAATTCACAAAAACCTATCACAACAGGCCAGAAGAGGTTAAATTTACCTATAAAAGAGGTGAAGTATATCATATATTTTTTAAGGAAAATATCATATCAGCAGATGTGTATTTGAAATCAAGCTTCCACAATCTTTTAACAGTACTGTGCAACAGGTCCTAAAGTGTGTTTTAATGTAGATTCTTTCAACAATGTTAAAGTAGTTGAACCAGAGACAGAAAACAATCAGAAAAATGTGAAATATCATTTATTACATGTATTGGGCAAGTATTAATCTTAAATTACTGAGATTGTGAAATGAGAATTGACATTAGAATTTTTAAGCATACACATTCTCCATGTTAATAAATAAGAATTCAGGCAATCTGAGCTGCTCTTACCGGCAGCACCTCTAAGAGATTTTGTAGTAAAGATAACAACCAACAACATAAAATATTAAATCACACTGTTTCACCAACACCAATTCACTGGATACAACTTTTTATTTAAACATATGAATGTTCTAATAAATCAGTCTTTTACTTACTAATTCATTGAGCATTTTTGAGTAAGTAGCATGTCCGATCAGTTACATTCAGTTACATTGATCAAGGTGAAGATTATTTAACAATGTGCAATCACTTTATATATCATATATGCATCATATAGAAGACTCTTAATTGATATCTGTTGGTTTTATGGACTACTAGTTGGATGTTAGTATCTAAAAAGTCTTAAATTACACTTATTATTTAGTTAGACTGACAGTTGTGAGGATTTTGGCAACCATGTTTTTAAAAATGCTACAGAAAAATGATTTCATATTTCATATGTACATAGCATGAAATATCCTGATCTGATATATGTTAATTCTATGAACTAAATATATAGTATATAAATATATAAATAGTATATAATATATAAATATATAAATAGTGTTCAATTTGACATATAATTCTGTTTCATGGACAAATATGAGACACAGCACGGTAGACTCTGAACTGATATCTGTTAGTTTTATGGATTTATTGTGGAAAAATGGACATTTTGTGAGGTGCTGAATTTTGTGTATGTATCAGTTATATTAGTTATATGAGGATTTTGCCAGCCAACTATTTAAAATGATTCTGGCTGCATGTAGGCTTATTTAGAAATGATAAATATATAAAATATATAGATCAGTGTGAGGGTTATGATTGTGAATTGATGAAAAATGATACAGTAAAAACACTTCATATTTCAAACGTGCAGTTTTATGCTGTTTTAATGCACTACTATCCTTCTGGGTTGCGGGAGGAGCTGGGGCCTTTCCCCACAGTCATTGGGTGGAAAGCAGGAAACACCCTGGACAGGTTGCCAGTCCATCACAGAGCAGACAGACATATACATTCACTCACACACAGGACAATTTAGCGTGTCCAATTGGCTTGATTGCATGCCAGAGGGGAGAACATGCAAACTCTACACAGAAAGGACCCTGGTCGCCCAGCTGGGAATCGAACCCAGGCCCTGCCAGCATGAACTAATTTTACAAGAAACACCTTTGTGTTTGACAACATGTTAATGTAAGATTCACTTTACACATAGCAGGAAAAGTAGCACTGCTGATGCTCTGGGTAGGTCATATGAGGACAAGCTGTCATTATTGGTATTATCAGTGTGTCATACAGTGTTATAAATCACATATTACTGTCAAAACAGATTCTGTATCAACTGTTCTGTCTTTCTCTCATAACAATAAGTTTTTTAAATATCCTGAGCCGGTTGGAGGCGGGGTTTGGTGCCTCGGTGCTCCACCCCTTCACACTGTATCTCCAGTGATTGTGAGCTTCCTGCCTGATGGAGGGAACGGTTCTGTACGAGTGTGTGAG